TATAACAAAAAGCAGATTGAATTTATACCAGCAGAGTAAAGTGTGTGTGGAGATTGGAGAAACATTTATTTCCTAACAGAACAGAAAAGAAAGTGAAACTGTATTTGAAAATGCTTGAGAATTACAATGTCCTGTGAACTTCCTGTCCTTGCCTTCATGAATACCAAAACAGACATCTCTGTTATGTTTTGTTTTTTGGCATTAACACTTTTTTTCTGTAATACTTTCTTCATTTCACACCAACGGCTGAATTTGATTAGCCCCTCAACACAACTCGTATCAATGCTGCTGAAATAGAGAGCCGGGTTCGAGAACTAAGCAAATTAGCCGAGACCACAGATAAAGTCAAACAAGGCTTTTGGGAAGAATTTGAGGTAAGTTATTAAAAAAATATATTTTTAACATGAGTGAATAAGTCCTATTTTTAATAGATGAGAAGTTGGTCTTGTGTTTGCAATTGGATCTGAAAGACACAAATCTATGTCCTAATTCGGCCGTTGATTGACATGGAACGAGTGTCTGAGGGGCTTCTTTGAAACAGAAGGGTCTTGTATTCTGGGGAGGGAGTTGGCAGTTATATGACATGGATGGGCCAGTAGCTCCGTTTGGCTCCTTCGGTTTGCTGGCAGAAATCCAGACAAACAAAAGGATCTGACTCCTTTGGGAGGTTTCCAGCATTGGCTGGGGTCTTCAGAAAGAATCTGCAGCCTCAGTGCAGTGACCGAGTAAGAGAAATGCCTCCTGTCGGCTTTAATTTGGGTTGACATTTATAATGCTGGGAAGTGAAGTGAGCTGACTTCTTTCCTTAAACCAACTCGGGTAGGAGAGTGTCCCCCAATGGGAATGCGCAGCGTTCCTGTTGTTCTCTGGTGTGTCACTTACCAGTTCACGTTGTCATCTCAACCTCTCTCTTCTCATCCACTTGGCAGAACACTTCTCAGAATCAAGGATTGTGCAATGTTCGCCTTCGTAGTTGTCCTTAGCATGTGTCACACTGCCTGGCACACAGCAGGCACTCCAGATAGTCCATTGTTCCATACTTTTGTAGGACTTTTAGAATTTACACATATTTGTGGAATGAATGAATGAATGGCCAAATAAAGCCATTTTAGTCACAGTGTGTACGATCAACTTGTTGAGATATTTCTGTTTTACAGACGAGCCTGAGGCTCAGGGAGGTTAAGTAAATTGTCTTTCCACAAATATTGATGGAATCGAGGCAGTGAGGGTGGGTACAGAATTGAACACTCACAGTTCTTGTTCAACATTGTGAACAGAGACTTGAACTGAAGTTTATTCTTTTCTCCCAGGCATTGGGTTAGTCACTGAGGATACCATGGCAAACAAGATTGTCAGGGCTTCCGTCTTTCAGGAGCTGAGAGAGGGAAGGCAGTGATGAAAAGCATCACTGGAGAAGTGATGATGAACTTAATAAGTCAGAATTGTGGAATATCAAGCTCGCGCTTTTTTTATTATTCTACTCTGCCAACCTCCATAATAAAAGACAGCATTTCAACATTCATCTAATTACATTTACTCCATTTCATTTAGTGTCTCTAAAGCCTCATGAGATAAGACGGATAACTACAAAAATTTTAGAAACCTTACATCAAAATTTGAATGAAGAAGAATTTTTCAAAAGTGTTTATTATGTAAAATCTCAAATATATACAAAAGCAGAGAGAATAGTGTGTCACAGCATTATACTAATCGCCTAGCATTAGCAATTGCCAATCTTTTTTTTCTTTTTTTTTAAATCTTTTTTTCTTAAAGATTTTTAAACATTGATTTTTAGAGAGAGAAGAAGAGAGAAAGAGAGAGAGAGAAACAAACATCTATGTGAGAGAGAAACATCAATGTGAGAGAGAAGCATCTATGCCCCCTACCAGGGATCGAGCATGTGCCCTGACCTGGATAGAACCAGCAGTCTTTGGGTGCATAGAATGGTGCTCAACCAACTGAGCAACACCAGCCAGGGCAATTGCTAATCTTTTTTAACAACACCATTCACTCCCCCAGCCCTGGTTATTGCAAATCCCAGATGTCATTTCATCTTCAACTTTCATTTTAAAAATTATAACCAGAATATCATCACATCCAAAACTATTAATAGTAATTCCTTAATATTAATACCTATCAGCTACTATTTACATTTTCTTGATTCACACACACACATAGTTTGTTTGAATTGGGAAGTGCTTTTTCTCCCACTTGATTATGAAACATTTTTGAACATATATAAAATAGATTTGTATAGCCTCACTGGAGTGCTCAGTTGGTTGAGCATTGTCCCATACACTAAAAGGTTGCCAGTTCAATTCCTGGTTGGGATACAAACCTGGGTTTTGGGCTTGGTCCCTGGTTAGGGTGCGTGCGTGTGGGAGCAGCTGATAGATGTTTCTCTCTCACATCGATGTTTCTCTCTCTCTCAAATCAATAGAAACATATTTAGCCCAGTCAGCGTGGCTCAGTGAGCATCAACCTGTGAACCAGGAGGTCACGGTTTGAGTTCCGATCAGGGCACATGCCCGGTTGTGGGCTCGATCCCAGGGTGGGGCGTGCAGGAGGCAGCCGATCAATGATTCTCTCTCATCATTGATGTTTGTTTCTCTCTCTTCCTCTCTGAAATCAATAAAAATATATTAAAAAACCCCAAAACCAAACAAACATACAAACACAATACACACATATATAAACCCCACACGACACTTTTTAAGTGGAGTACCCCCCCGCCCGCCCCCTGCCCCCCCTCCCGCCCGCACTTTAAAACTTGTTTCGTTAGCAATTTGATTTGTTTTTAAAGCCCAGCCTTCTTTGGGTTATGCAAACCCTTCTCTGTCATGGTCCGAAGCTGTTTTCAGTTTGCACAGGCATTACAGTCATTTCACTGACAGCCACACAGATGTCCTGATTCCACCAGCAGCTCAGCTGACCAGCGCGTCTCCAGGAGGAGCTCGCGCCTGTCTCCAAGCCCACAGTCCAGTTTGATTTCTTTAAAAGTGATCACATCCTCCTCAGGGGAGCTATAATTTCTCCTTCGAGATGGTTAGGTTTTATGGAAACAGGACTTTAAGTGCACCCCAAAGCTGTGTCTAGAATAAGCTTTCTTTTTGATGATCCCTAGTGGAAAATCTTCCCCTTGTGACTAATCAGTGCCACAGTGAACAACAGTCCCAGCCAGGCTGCAGCCTCGGGCTTAAAATACTCCAGGATGGCGGGCATGAGCTGTACCCAGGATTTTCCATCTAGACCAGGCTCCCCGTAGCTCATAGAAGGGCTGCTGCCTTCCTGTGGGCAGAGCGTTGCAGCGGTTAGAGGTTTTATTCCAAAAGCTTCAGTCTGGAGAAATGCCTTTATTTCCTTTGGTCTCTCTCTCTCTCTCTCTCTCTCTCTCTCTCTCTCTCAGCCCCTCCAGTGTCATGTTTTCCTCTTTAGAATTGTTTTTATTTGCTGGCTCTCCTTGGCATCTTTGCAGAGATTTAAGAACCAAAGGTGCTTTCACATTTCCACGTCACTTTTTCCCTTTGCCTTTAAAGGACCTTCTACTTTGTGCCTCTGCCATTGTCCTGTCTTCCTCATTGAGTGGACTTGTGCTGTGCCCTCCATTTCTTCTTAGCTCCTTCCCTCTTTACTTACGTATTTTTTTTGTTAATTCTCACCCAAGGATATTTCCCATTGATTTTTAGAGAGAGTGGAAGGGAGGGGGAGAGACAGAGAAACATCGATGTAAGAGAAACACGTTGATTAGTTGCCTCCCACACAAGCCCCAACCAAGGCTGGGGACTGAACCTGCAACGGAGGCATGTGCCCTTGCCATGAATTGAACCTGGGCCCCTTCAGTCTGCGGGCCAACACTCTATCCACTGAGCCAAACCAGCCAGGGCTGTAGGGGTCTCTTTTTGGTCATCGCAGTGACTGGGGGAGCCGCTACTGGTGTTTTGGGGGCCACGGGTGGGGAGCAGTGCTGTTCACTGGCCCTAAATGTGGGGGACGGTTCTGTACAGTGAGTACTTGTCGCATCCACAGGCAGTCGTGCTGCTGGGATCTCCCACATGTACAACTTGGATTAGGGTCTTGATTTTCTCTTGATGCCTTTAAAGGTTTAATAGTTTGATGCAATCCATTGTCTCCAGATCTGCTTTGACTCATGCAATCAGGTGACTGGAACTAGCCTCGGGCCCTTTTGAGGGTTCATCTTTGGTGCAAACCCCTGAGCTGTATTGCTGGGGAAACAGGGTGTCTGGAGCTTGTGTCTCAGCTTTACACGGGCCTTTTTTGCTCCTCTCCCAGCCTTATCTTTGATGGAGACACAGTCCTTCTCAGCTTTTGGTGCCCCAGGGGCTGCTGGGGAGAAGGAGGTTGTGGAAGATAAACCAGGAAAGGAATGTAACCTCCTGGGGCCAGGGCTTGCTGGGCCTTCTTCTGACTCTCCCAGCCTTCAGCCCGGTGCTGGGGAGGAAGCACCCTCAGCAGGGGTTGCTGATGATCTCATGGCTGTTGGAGCCTCAGAGCAGAGCTTGGAAACTCACAACTTCTGAGTTCTTTTTATTGTCAGCCTGGCTATAGATGGATGAGCCTTTCTCTGTGGGAAATGAAATGTATTCAGGCAAGGACACAGATGATTATGGGCTGATGGGCACTGAGGAGTGAGCTGGGGGGAGACCCATTGCTAGTCCTTATTAATCGCAGACAGCTGCCACGTAGCACCTGACTGTGCTTGGGATAGGGGCTCAGCCTGTCCTTTCCTTTTCTTCTTCTTCTTTTTTAAATCCTCACCCATTGATTTATTTTGTGCTATTTTATTTAAAGGTATTTTTATTGATTTCAGAGAGGAAGGGAGAAGGAAAGAGAGAGCGAAACATCAATGATGAGAGAGAATCATTGACTGGCTGCCTCCTGCACACCCCCACTGGGGATGGAGCCCACAACCTGGGAATGGGCCTGACTGGAATCGAACCCAGGACCCTTCAGTCTGCAGGCTGACGCTCTATCCACTGAGCCAAGCTGGCCAGGGCTCCATTGATTTTTAGAGTGGAAGAGAGAGGGAAAGACAGAGAAATATCGATGTGAGAGAAACACATCAATTGGTTGCCTTCTGCACGAGCCCCGACCAGGGCCCGGGCTCTGGGGGAGCTTGCAACTGAGGTATGTGCCCTTGACTGGAATTGAACCCTGGACCATTCGGGTCCTCAGACCGACACTCTATTCACTGAGCCAAACCAGCTAGGGATGTGCTTTAAAAAAAATAAATTATTGATTTTTAGAGAGAGAGGAAGGGAGGGAGAGAGAGATAGAAACATGGATGAGATAGAAACATCATCCATCGGCTGCCTCCTGCACGCCCCCTACTGGAGATTGAGCCTGCAACCCGGACATGTGTCCAGATTGGGAATTGAACCTTGACTTCTTGGTTCATGGGTTGATGTTCAACCACTGAGCCACACTGACCCGGCTTATGTGCTTCCTTGTATGCCAGGCCCGTTTCTGCACTTCACAAAGTAATCTCATGTCACTCTCCCACCAGCTCTGTGGGGGAGGGAATTAGGATTATCCTCACTCTACACTGGAGGAACCTGAGATACAGACAGGCTAGTAACTTGGTGAAGTAAAAGCTGAGGTTTGAGGCAGGCCTCCATGAGCTCAGAAGAGAAGGCCTTGTGAGTTGTTCTGAAAGCTTGGACTTGACCTTGAAGGCAGAGGGAGAGAGGGAAGGTGATTGAACAGAGAGGGCCTGGATGAAACGCACCTTTTGTAGAGACTGCTCTGGCCATGCGCCCTCTGCCAGTGACGTGTCACGTGAGGTTTGTTTCCTGAGTGAATAGTCTTTGCTTTGCTGTCAAATTCGTTTAGCTTTTGTTGGAGGTGTTTTTCTTCGTTGATTTTTAAGCGATTGAGTCAGTTCATAGTATTTGGACTTTTTGGACTTCACCTTAATGTTCAAAAATCAAGAACCTCCTTCCTAATAACACGGCAAATACTGCTCAGTAAGACTGGCTCCCTGTTCAGAGGAAATGCTGGCTTGAAGACGGCAGATGGCTTTAATTAATCTGCACTCATTTAAGATTTTTGAATGGCCGTTTCGTTGTCACAGTTCTGCTCACATTGTATTTTACTTCTGCCCAGGTTCCAGCTAGCTAAACACTTTCGTTATTTGCCCGGTGTCACAGCTGAATATTGCATTTTGAAAATGAGAGTTAAATGGCAATTTAAACTCCTGACTTTCATACCTGTCTGTGAAATTCAGACAAATGAGATGGAAATAATAGGGCTGCTGTGTTATGAAATATTGACTCTGGCACTTTTGTAGAAATCTTTAAGGAGTAACCATTTTGGCATTTATTTATATTATGTATATATAAAGTATATATATATTTATAACATGTATATAAAAGTATATATTCATAACACATATACAAAGTATGTCTATACATAATATATATAAATTATATATATTTTTCCTCTTCTTTTTAGTCTGCCTTTCACTTTCTTGATTTGCCCTTTCACTTTCGTGATTTCCTGTTACAGATTAGGTTTGTTTGAAACTAACGGTCCCCCGAAGAGGCACTTTTTGTCATTTTGAGAATGAAACCTACCCCTTGAAAATGCTTCAGCCTGGCTTATCCACCCTCCTGTCTGTCCTGCAGCTGTGCCTTCTTTCCTCTTCCCCACATCCCCTCCTCCTCCTCTTCCTCCTCCTCCTCTTCCTCCTCCTCCTCCTCTTCCTTTTCTTCTTCTTTTTTTATATATTTTTATTGATTTCAGAGAGGAAGGGAGAGGGAGAAAGAGATAGAAACATCAGTGATGAAAGAGAATCATTGATCGGCTGCCTCCTGCACACTCCTTACTGGGGATTGGGCCTGCAACCCAGGCATGTGCCCTTGAGCAGAATCGAACCCAGCACCCTTCAGTCCTCAGGCCGACACTCTATCCCCTGAGCAAAACCGGCTAGGGCACATTCCCTCTTCTGATGGGGCCAGTTCCAGTCCCGCTGTGGCTGCCTGTGTTAGTCCCTTTCTTTCCCGTGGTCTCCACCTCCCTTCCCTGCAGAGGTGCCCTTCCTGACCACTTGCCTCAGGACCCCGAGTTTTCTTCTTCACTGTCTGGCCCAGAAGGCCATGAGGGGATGGATGTCTATGTAGATGCAGGCTGGCTGCCTGTGGCTCTAACAAAGGAGGTCTTCAAAGCCTTGCTCACAAAGCTCATGCCTGCGGCCCAGTCCCCAACCACTTCGGTTCTCTGGTATTTAAATTTGACAACTGACATCTTTAAGGGTTGCTCTGAATTAAACAATGGCAAAAGGAGGCGGGCCATCAGCTCCTCGAGAACATGGGTCACATCTGTTATTTGTATCCTGTACACCAGTACCCACTGGCTTTCATTCTTTTAAAATTAAATTTATTCGGGTAGCACTGGCTACTAACATGAATTTCAGGCCTACAGCTTTATAATATGGCATCTGTATGCTCTGCTGTGTGCTCATCACCCAAGTCTAATCTTCTGTCAGCATGTATTTGGTTCACTTTACCCTCTTTATTCTCAGTAATTGTTATTTTAAAAGGCTTATCTTTTATAAATACTCATGCATTGTAGAAAATTTAAGAAAAAAAAAGGTGAAAAAATAGAGAAGGAGAAGGAGGAGTAGGAGAAAGGGCCTTCATAATCCCACTAATCTGACACAGAACCCCATTGCTTTTTGGTGTAATCCTTCTGCCATATCTTACATGTGAGTGCAAAACATATGGCTTCCGTCATACACAGTTTTGCAAGGTGGAGCTTCTTTTCACTTAACACTTACTCTGATTCTTTTTCCAAGGCACGAAGTAGTCTCCAAGAACATCTTTTAAATGGCTGCAGAAGGTTCTTTTGTATGAATGAACAATAGTGTTATTTAGGCAGCTGTTTCCATTGGCCATTTATGTTGTTTCTGGTGTTTTTGCCACTGTTGGTACAGTGTTAACATGAGCATTCTTAGAGTTATTGCTCAGGACTGTGAACATTTCCTGGGATAAATTCCTTAAAGCAGAAACCAAGCCAAGCTTTTTTTTAAAGCTTTTGACGCATAATAATATTTACTTTTGCTTCTCTCTAGACACTACAGCAACAGGAGTGCAAACTTCTCTATAGCCGAAAAGAGGGCCAGAGGCAAGAAAATAAAAACAAAAACAGATATAAAAACATCCTGCCCTGTAAGTATCAGTATTCTGCTCAGTCATCGTCACTCTTGCAGATTTTGATTTGCAGCAGATCCAAGGCCTTAGCCTCTTTTAATTGTGAGCCGTTTCCAAAATAATCCACTGGGACAGGGACTGCTGGCCTCATTCACGGAGTTCCTGCGTGCTGATTACTGAGTGAAATGCCATGCGGAGGCTTTGAGTGTGGTTGTTTTCTTCTGTTGATTAATCTGTTTGCCTGAGAGCGATGATCTCCCAGTGTCAGGCCACACCAGGAGCCCTCTGGGGTCCCGGGCTTGTGTCCTTGCTCTGTGGTACCTGGCTCCTGGGTCTTGGGAAAGGCACACCTTCTCTCTGAGGCTCTGTTCCTTCACCTGGGGACAGACAAGCTCCTTCCAGGGCTCTTCGCTCTGCTCCCTGATGTCACTAGCTCGTGAGACTGGAGACTCGGGTGCATACCTGCACTTGGCTCAGAAGGCACAGCTCATTAAACCCAGATGCTGTCAGGTGGAGCCCATGGGGAACCATGGGAAAAAGAGGCCCAGAAGGATGGAGGCCTTGGACGAGGGTCCCAGAAATGGCACTTCCAGTGATAAATCCTATATGTCCATAGTATATTATCAAAACCAGGAAAACGGCATTGTGACTTTATTCTCTTAAAGAAAGGCAAAGTGTGGTGCTCAGATTATTGTTATGCTGATTTAGGATTTAATTTTTTTTTTTTAAATATATTTTATTGATTTTTTACAGAGAGGAAGGGAGAGGGATAGAGAGTTAGAAACATCGATGAGAGAGAAACATCGACCAGCTGCCTCCTGCACACCTCCCACTGAGGATGTGCCCGCAATCAAGGTACATGCCCTTGACCGGAATCGAACCTGGGACCCTTCAGTCCGCAGGCCGACGCTCTATCCACTGAGCCAAACCGGTTTGACAGGATTTAATTTTTTAATGTGGTTTTATCATTAAATGAACACAACTTGGACTATGTTGATGATGAACGGATTTGAACAGGTTTGTCCTGAAGAGGTCTGAGTACTTTGGTGACTGTGGTCTTTTTCTTCCAGTCGATCATACCAGGGTTGTTCTACATGACGGTGACCCCAACGAGCCTGTGTCCGACTACATCAATGCCAATATTATCATGGTAAACTTAGCTCTTCACAGCGTCTTCTGACCATACATATTTTTTATTTTAAATCCTTTCTTCTGTCCTAAAAGCAACTTTCAAATGTTGGACGGATTTTCTTCTTAAATTTCTAGCCTGAATTTGAAACCAAGTGCAACAATTCAAAGCCCAAAAAGAGTTATATTGCCACACAAGGCTGTCTGCAAAATACGGTGAATGACTTTTGGCGCATGGTGTTTCAAGAGAACTCCCGAGTGATTGTCATGACAACGAAAGAAGTGGAGAGAGGAAAGGTATATTAAATACGTTTCTGATAAAATATTTTAAAATGATTGCTCACGTCAGGTTGACCATGTTAAGAATTGAATAAACAAGTTAAGCTGAAGCTAACCGACCCTCTGGAAAAAAGGACGTTGAGGAAATTTGATGATGATGTGCTTTGGTATAGTTTTCTTTAGGTTTCTTCTGCTTGGGGTTCATTGAGCTTCTTGGATCTGTGGATTTACATGTGTGGTGTTTTTTCCAACACCACAGTGTGTAATCTGTTAGCCCTATTCAGTGTGTATTTTTCATTCAGATATTGTCCATTTCACCTCTAGAAGTTTTATTAAGGTCTTTTTAATATCTTCTTTTAAAAAAAAATTAATTGATTTTCTACAGAGAGGAAGGGAGAGGGATAGAGAGTTAGAAACATCGATGAGAGAGAAACATCGATCAGCTGCCTCCTGCACACCTCCCACTGGGGATGTGCCCGCAACCAAGGTACATGCCCTTGACCGGAATCAAACCCGGGACCTTTCAGTCCACAGGCCGACGTTCTATCCACTGAGCCAATCCGGTTAGGGCAATTATCTTCTTTTTTACATGTGCATCATCCCCTATACCTTTGAACACATAGAATACATTTATAATAACTTTTAATGTTCTTATTACTAATCCTATTACACATTATTTCATTTTTCTGGTTTTTCAGTTGTTTAAGGTGGGGAGGGCAAATCCAGCCATTACTCCACTGTATCCAGAAACAGTGGTTGAAAAGGGAGTGTAAGGAGGGCCTGCCTGGTGCTTTCAGGTGATTAGAGTACTAATAAACCAACAGTGATTTCCCTGGTCACATAAACTTACTGTTCATGACTTTTAAGCATTTAGAAAGTAATTTGAATGACCCGAACAATACATCCAAATAAATATTCAAGCACAGTTATTGATAAAGTTGCCTTTATCACTATCCCTTGTCCATCCACTTTAGTCCCCTCCTCCAACATAAACCCTGTTTGATGTGTATTATTCTACACTCTTCTTGGTGTTTACATATGTATAGGTAGTAAAGGCATTGCTATCGGCATTACATACCTATATTTACATATTTATGCCTTTACCTACATATATGTACCTATGAAGTATATATAGTACTATTTTCTGAAAAATACTATATGAAAAAGTGCTTTCATACTGTAACTTTATTGTGCATCTTGGGTATTTCTCCCACTAAATACATGTTCTAACTTCTGTCTCATAGTAATTGCATGATGTTTCATGGTGTATATGTATCATAATTTATTTAACCATTGTGTGCTGGGCATGTAAGTGTTCAATTTTTCTAAATAGTGCTGAAGTGAACAATCTTATTCTTGCTTCTGTGTCTATGTGGCAAGTGTTTCTCTAGGATAGATGTCAGGAATTGCTAGGTCATAGGGTGTGCATGTTGAAAATTTATGTAGGTTCTGCCAAACTGCCTTCCAGAGTGGTTTCCCAGTGTGCACTCTCTCCAGCTGTGCTTGCCTAGCAGCCATCTCCCCACACTCTTTTTAAAAAAAATATATTTTATTGATTTTTTACAGAGAGGAAGGGAGAGGGATAGAGAGTTAGAAACATCGATGAGAGAGAAACATCGATCAGCTGCCTCCTGCACGCCCCCTACTGGGGATCAACCAAGGTACATGCCCTTGACCAGAATCGAACCTGGGACCCTTGAGTCCGCAGACTGACGCTCTATCCACTGAGCTAAACTGGTTAGGGCTCCCCACACTCTTCATGACACTTCAGGTGTTCAGAAACTGTAACATCCACCCTTACAGAGAAGCAGACAGATCTCATTGAGTGATAGCTGTGTGTTATCCAAAGCCAGTCTGTCCACGCAGCTTTCTTAGTTTGGAAAAGTTCTGTGTTTGTGTTTGTGTTCTAGGCAAAGTGTGTTTTTAGACATACTTGATTTGGCTTCTGTAAAAGCTGCATGGAATGTAGCAGTCATACCTGTAAGTTAAACATAAGACAGATGGGCGATTTTGGATTTTAGCCCTCTTACTGTAATTTTCTTGTAGTTGTGAAGGGCAGTGTGATTGGATAAGATTTTCATTGTTGTACTAGTGGTTGATACGCGTCTGAAGATCTTTGAGGCCAGATCTGGTCTTTGTGAAACAAAGGTCTCCTGCAGTAACATTAGCTGTTCTTGAATTAATGGACGAGTTAAGGCATCTTCATAGTTTCCGCTTCAGGTGAGTGTCACCTGCCCTCAGAATGGAAAGGAAAGCTGAACCCCCTTGAACCCCTTTCCTATGTGTTGCCCGATGAGAGTTATAGGAGGCCACCTGTTTCTCAGAGGACTTGAGGGTGTAAAGACAGGATGCTCGTGTCCCTTCAGAAGGATCAGTATTGTCTCTTTCAGGTGAGCTGCCAGAGGCTCCTACAACAGACACTGGGCCCGATCACTGCCTCCTCCTCACTTCTTCATCCCAGCCCGCGCCTGTCTTCCCATTCTTCCCCTTCACTTCGTGGGTGGAGAGGGTGACATGAGGGCATTTATTCTCTCCACAGGCCTCCTGACACCCTGCTCTCTCAGCATCATCCCCGCTCCCTGCTCCCTGAACAGAATAAAAGCCAGACTGGATTCCTTTGGATCCCTGGGCTTGAATTGCAAGACTAAAGTGTTAGCCCTCACAGTTTAGAGATTTTGTGTCAAGGTGTACATCAGAGTTTAGAAAAGTGGGAAGTGGGCTGTAGTATTTCACAGCTGTTTAAAGTGAGACAAAATGTTTTTAGAGTTACGATTTAATTTTGTGTTCTCTTGAGCGACAGCAGTCCTCAAATTGATTAGCCAGTAACAGCCTTGAGTACAATTAATATTAAAGGTGTTCATTTGGGGAAAATTGTATTAAATCTGTCACAGGGTATTTGGATCTATAAAACACTGGAGGGAAAGCCGAATTCAAAATAATGATAAATCAATGACCGCAAGCTGTGCCAAGCAAAAAAGTGGCACCATCCATTAAATTCTGTTGAATGTTCCTCCTACCATGTTTTTCTTTTCTGTAATTGACCATTGATTGTGGGGGCTAGTCTGCAGCTGCTCTGTTACGTCCATTTTTATAACTGGGAATTTCTCCATCTTCCTAAAATACAAGGAAATTGTCTTTGGCTGATATTTGTGTCCGGTTGTGGAAAGGAAATGGCATCGGTGACCCCGCCCAGAAAAAAGACCCCAAAACACAACATCATTCTTTACTCAGGGCACGTCATCACATATATGCAGACTCGTTTCTCATGGAGCGGAGTGTCTTCCTCTTTGGCAGCAAGGATGGTTTCTTGGTGCTATATTTTCCCATCTGCCTGCTCTGAAGCCAGCAGCTCTTGCAGGCTTGGCATTCCCAGGCACCCAGTTAAGCGAAGGTGACGTGTGCAGTAGGTAGCAAATGGGTCTGGATATAGAAAAAGCAGCTGGTTCAAAACCCCGGTGGCTGCCTTGCTGTGCTGGAGGTATTCACACTTGGGTTAGATAAGGCGCAGAGCCCTCCTACGCAGGGGTGGAAATGAACCAGACCGTCTGGCTTGTTGGGCAGCTCATCCACCTCCAGAGTCTTTGCTTGCCTTCCCTGCGGAGCGGCTGGCAGATCTCTAGAATTCAAATCTCAGTGGTTGCTAGACAGCACCCTCAACCTGGCATTTCCTCTCTTTGCATCTTTGAGTCTTTTTTTAAAATATATTTTTATTGGTTTCAGAGAGGGAGAGAGAGATAGAAACATCAATGATGAGAGAGAATCATTGATCAGCTGCCTCCTGCACGCCTCACATTGGGGATTGAGCCCGCAACCCAGGCATATGACCTGACTGGGAATGGAACCGTGACCTTCTGGTTCATAGGTTGATGTTCAACCGCTAAGCCGCCCTGGCTGGGCACATCTTTGATTCTTTAGAATTAAATAAACAAGCACAGACTATCCTTTGACCTGAGTGTTGGATGGGACAACTCTGCACACATGGCCTTTTCTTCCCCCTCCTCCCTGGTTCTCCAAGTCCCTGCTTTCTACTTTGAACTCTTCTTTCCTCTTCTTTGGAAATCCAACAGTTCAATGATGGAAAGGCCATTCTCCAGACTAGTGGTTGTTAAGCAAAACTTGGACATTTGCTTTCTGCCGGTTCACAGATATTAACTGTCTTTTTATATCTGTTCCCTTCCAGAGTAAATGTGTCAAATACTGGCCTGATGAGTTTGCTCTGAAAGAATATGGGGTCATGCGTGTTAGGAACGTCAAAGAAAGCGCCGCTCATGACTATACGTTAAGAGAACTTAAACTGTCAAAGGTTGGACAAGTAAGTATATTGTCGTATTTTAGAGACTTTGGGAACTGTTTATGGTATGCAACCCAGGGTCATGCAGTTACAACCATTCATCCATTCATTCCCTCACTGGTTCAGCAGCCATTCGTTGAATGCCTTCTATGTGCCAGGTACTCTCGAGGCACTGCTGGTACATTGCAGACAAGACCTACAGTAGCCTTTGCTCTCCCAGAGCCTAGAGATAGAAGTTTAAAATTTAAATGAGCAACTAAGTTTTCTGATTGTGCCGACTGCGAAGGCACAGGATGGCATGCTATGGAGTGAGTTGGTACTTGAGATGGAGTACACGGGGAGGGCTTCTCTGAGGGAGTGTCACTTGAGCTGAGACCTGAAGGTGGAGGAGTCTGGAATCCAGAGTTCAGAGAAGAGGGTCCCAAGCACAGGGAGCAGCAAGTGCACAGGTCCTGAGGCCTATTTAGTGATCAAATTTCACAGCATCAGATTTAACTGCATATAGTTCAGGTTTGTCCCTGGGCTGACTAACTTTAGAAAGCATGGTTAGGTTTGGATTTATTTAATAGTACGGTTAGAGAGGGGCTTTCTTATTCAAGGCCTTTGGGATATAAAGCTGAATGAAACAGTCTTTGTCGTTAAGGAATTGTGATCACATAGCAGCAAGAAGCCACATATACAAGTAGCCGTACTCTAGAGCAGACACAGGCCATCCCACACATCTGAAGTGCCATGGTGTTGCCAAGGCTGGGCTTCCTTCCAGCTAGGGCACCAGGGAGACAGTCTCAGAAGAGGTTGGGCCCTTAAGGATGGGGATTCCGTGCGAGATGAATTCACAGACGGAGGTGCCATTGTGAGCCATGGCGCTGAAGTGCAAACTGCAGGAAAGTGGGGTTTGTGGGAAACGAAGGCACTTGGGAATCTAGGGGATAAACTTGTGTTGAGACAGGTTGGGACCAAGTCGGGCCGAGTCTTAACACTATGTTGAGAAGTGTGAACTTTATTTATTAGTTGTCATAGAACCTGTGACTGTTCTCAGCCGAGTGAATACGTGCAGAATGGAGTGCCAGGAAGGTGTCTGGTAGCGGGGCAGTGGGAGAGGGATTGGATGGGTGATCCTGATGGTCGGGAGGCCTGTTTGGAGCCTCTGCGATGGTCTGGGTCTAATGGCCTTCTCTTTACATCTCCCAGAGACGCCAGCAGTTGTTCTGCTTGTTATTCCCTTCTTAGTCCTTCCTATGGAAATGCACATTTTGTTAAAATGCCAGAGCAAACTCTGCAAGAAAAGTCACGGATGTGAAAGATTCCCAGGCATGAAGTCTGCAGGGCGAGGGGGTAGTTTGGCTATTATTGGAGGAGGAGGAAGAATTAGAGACATCTTAGGATTTTGAGCCCAAGTGGACAGTGGGCTATGGCAAGAAATCCAGTAAATTTCTGGGCAATGCTGAGTGCCCCAATGAGGTGGTGAACGTGAATATTTATGACACCAATCACCTGGTTGTGTGACTTTCCTCCATGGACACTACCCTGTTCCTCCCATACAAATAGAGGAAGTGGGTGGTTGTGTCTGTCTGGTCTGGGGGCTTTGCCAGGGGTCACAGTGCATGGAGACAGGGTGTGTGATGGAGAGTGATGGTCAGGATAGTGTGTGGAATCTGAGCAGGGGCTCAGTGAGGCGCCTGGAGGTGGGGCTCACGTGGGTTGGGAACCTCAGAGATTGTGGTCCAGGATGGATGCTGGGACTTCTGATGTCAGTGGGCGTGCAGTTCTGATGGTGGCCGAGACTGAGAGGAGCTGGGAAACGGCAGCTGTCGAGCAGAAATGCGAGCGAGATTTAGAAGACATTGGACAAGGGTTCCAAATGGGGTTTTCTTCAGTTTTAGTGATCAACCATCCATCTTGTATCAGAGATTTTTGAGCAGCAGGTATGGGAAGGGTTGGTGTTTGGGTTTCTGTGTTGCACCCTCTGATGCAGGTGGTGACAGAGGACCCATCATTTCTCCAGAATTGCTGGTCACCTATTATCTGCTTTTTATATAACACGTTACATATTTTCTAACGTGCTGTCACATCATTTCATTTAAGCCTCCTAACTGCCTGGGAAGAAGTTGGGGCAGGGACCTGAGGGACCTTTATCAAGGAGAAGGAGCATGGATGAGTAGGGAGCTGGTCTCTCTCATTCCCCAACTGTCCTTCCTGCAACTGTGTCGCCCCTTGATTTTTAGCTAACCAGTAACATCCAGAAAAATCTTTTTCGTGATGTCAGCCAATTAAATGCACATAATTCAAGAAAAGATTCTAATTGTGGTTCAGATTCTGGTTGTGGACACTGGTCTAGTTACTCTGTCCTTGTTTTTAAATCCCCTTTTAAAATGTCACTTAGCTGGATTGTCTCCAGATCCAGAAAGAGATGTAACGATGAATAGTGCTGCTCAGTGACTTCGCCCGGGTGGACCCCGCACGTGATGCTTTTGCGTGTTTTGCAGTCTTGGGACCATGGTTGACCTTAATTAGTGATCACTGTCCTCAGAGGAGCCCACATGCTGAGTCTCCTCCCATCCGCGGAGCAGTGGCTGTGTGTTAGTTGCTCCTGTTTAATCCTCACAGTGGTGTGAGAGAGGGATTATTGTTCCTATTTGCAAAGGAAGAAATTGAGGCCTAGAGCTGTCCAGTCACTACAGTGAGTGTGCGTGCTGGGATTTTGGCCGAAATCCAG